AAGCGGTTATCCGGAGCGCCAAGCGAGGTAAGCGGTTGTCCGCAGGCGGGGAGTGAGCTGAGCGTTTGTCCGCAGCCGCCGAGGCGGTGAGCGGTTTTACATAGGGGGTATCGAATTGTGGGGTCGCAAGCAACAAAAGGTTTGGGAACCGGTAGGCTATACGAAAATACGGTGGCTAGTAAGCTTGTTCTCTCCGTAGATTTTTAAGAATTTTTCGCGAACTTTTGAAAAAACAATTGTGGTGTAAGCTTTACAGCGTCACAACATGGTATACTAATCCCTTACCTCCAATACATTTTAGGTGCAAGGCTTAACTGGTGCGCCAACGGTGGCGGCCTTGCTTCTTTAGAAACCGTGGTCGATAATGATGTGAAGTGCATCTGCCCACCGGGCTTTGGAGGTGATCGCTGCGAGAAAGGTAAGATTCTAGTTCGCGAGATCTTACTTCGATTATTTCAATTTTTGAACCGTCTTGTCAGCAGTAAACCAGAGTGTGATACCGACTGCACGTTTTCTGTGATAGAGAAATATTGCACGATGTTGTGATGATCATCGCAGAAAAAGTATAATATTAAATTCATTGCTTATATTTGTGATGACCATCACTTATTTGAGCGACGCTTCGATGTACCATAGTTTTGTGCAATACGCTTCACACCGTTTTGAGTTAAATCCAGAATCATCGCATTATTTTGTAATGAGTATCCCCCAATTTTGCGATAAAAATTCATCACACCCCCAGGAGTAATAAATCATGGGAATCACACAGGAAATTTTATCACACGAAAATGTGTGAAAAGTATATCACATTCGAATTACAGTGTAGTCGCCGCTTTCAGGTTTGTAACCGATCTCTGGCGAATTGGGTCACGTTAGGATATCGCGCGTTCGGGTGGGTTGTAGCTAGCGGCCCTCGTGTGAGAGGTGCGCAGAGCAGCCGAGCGGCAGCCAATCACAGCGCTTTGGTATCGCCTGGGAGCCGGCCCGGCCAGAAACCAGAAACCACCCCGTCTGAGGCTAGCCTCAGGCGAGCCGACGCGCGCTCAGCGGAGGGAGTAGTCTCGTTCGGGGTGTCTCTGGCCCAGGCGATACCAGCCCGGAGCTCTGCGCACCTCTCACACGAGGGCCGCTGGTTGTAGCGCACTCTTTTAAGACTAGAATACATTCGTCGCCGAGTCTTTGCGACCGCTGGGAGCCGGTAGGGAGCGCTTGGCCCAGAACGCTGCTTGCCGCGTCTCATCGAGCCCCCATTTCTTAGCTCCGGCAGTAGCGAACACGCTTTCGTTCGGAAGGTTGTGTGGAGCCGCCCATATCTTCAGCGACTCCGCACAAAGTCTGTATTGTTAATACCACTGTTAAAAATTTTTGTCGAGATTTTACAGAAAAAGTCTGGGTATACCAGTTGCCATGTAAAAGTCTGGTAAAATTACAGGCGTCTGTAAAATTACAAACACTGGTAAAACTAACTCCACAAAATTACTGTAAAACTGTTACCAAACGTTTATGTAAAAATTGTTTACGAACGTTTTCTTTAATTTTTACCCACATTCTTCTGACGTAATACATGCAAGAAAAAACATTTTCGGCGACTGTTTTCTTGTTCTATATTACATAGTCAACCGCCTACGGGTTTCATTGTTGAAAGTACTTGTACCGCTTGTACCCCAGGTGGGATCGAACTCCCGACCTTATAGTCGTGAGCCCGATGCCTTGTCCAATGCGGGAGCGCGCTAACTGCGCGAGGTTTGCAACTGCGCGAGGTCGGTGACTGCGCGAGGATTGCAACTGCGCGAGGACTGCAACTGCGCGAGGACTTTAACTGCGCGAGGAATGCAACTGCGCGAGGTAAATTATGCTGTTTGCAGCTGCGCGTGGTTTTAAACTGCGCGAGGTTTGTAACTGCGCAAGGTTTGCAACTGCGCGACGTTTGCAGCTGCGCGAGGTCAATTGGGCCCGTTTGAAACTGCGCGAGGTTTTTAACTGCGCGTGTTCTGCATGTGCGCGTCGCCAGCAACTGCGCGAGGTCTGCAGCTGCGCGATGTCAATGTGAAGCGTTTGTAACTGCGCGAGGTTTTCAGCTGCGCGAGGTCTGCAGCTGCGCGAGGTCCGTTTTGTGCCCTTTGCAACTGCGCGATGTTTGCAACTGCACGAGGTCGGCAAATGCGCTTGGTCTGCAACTGCGCGTGCTCTGCAACTACGCGTGGCCAGCAACTGCGGAAGTAGTGCAGCTGCGCGTGGTTTGCAACTGCGCGAGGTATGCAACTGCGCGAGATCAATTTGTGTTGTTTGTAACTGCGCGTGGTTTGTAACTGCGCGGGGCTGCAACTGAGCGAGGTTTGTTAGCGATACTAGCAACTGCGTGAGGTTTGTTAGCTGCGCGGGTTTGAGATTAGGCAGGTTTGGTTGGGTTGCGTTACATTGTATTAGGTAAGGGTAGATTTTGTTGCGTAAGGTTTCGTTATGTTAGGTTGCGTTAGGTTAGGTTTCGTTAGGTTAGGTTTCGTTAGGTTAGGTTTGGTTAGGTTTTGTTAGGTTAGGTTTCGTTAGGTTAGGTTTCGTTAGGTTAGTTTCGTTAGGTTAGGTTTCGTTAGGTTAGGTTTTGTTAGGTTAGGTTTCGTTAGGTTAGGTTTCGTTAGGTTAGGTTTCGTTAGGTTAGGTTTCTTTCGGTAACGTTCGGCTAGATTATGGCTGGTTAGATAACGTTGCGTTGTTTTAGTTCACTCGCGTATGGTTGCAGACCTCGCTCAGTTGCAGCCACGCGCAGTTACAAACCACGCGCAGTTACAAACAACACAAATTGACCTCGCGCAGTTGCATACTTCGCGCAGTTGCAAACCACGCGCAGCTGAACTCCTCGCGCAGTTGCTGGCCACGCGTAGTTGCAGAGCACGCGCAGTTGCAGACCAAGCGCAGTTGCCGACCTCGTGCAGTTGCAAACATCGCGCAGTTGCAAAGGGCACAAAACGGACCTCGCGCAGCTGCAGACCTCCCGCAGCTGAAAACCTCGCGCAGTTACAAACGCTTCACATTGACATCGCGCAGCTGCAGACCTCGCGCAGTTGCTGGCGACGCGCACATGCAGAACACGCGCAGTTGAAAACCTCGCGCAGTTTCAAACGGGCCCAATTGACCTCGCGCAGCTGCAAACGTCGCGCAGTTGCAAACCTTGCGCAGTTACAAACCTCGCGCAGTTTAAAACCACGCGCAGCTGCAAACAGCATAATTTACCTCGCGCAGTTGCATTCCTCGCGCAGTTAAAGTCCTCGCGCAGTTGCAGTCCTCGCGCAGTTGCAATCCTCGCGCAGTCACCGACCTCGCGCAGTTGCAAACCTCGCGCAGTTACCATCGTCTCTCCAATGCGCTACGGCGCGCTCCGTGCTGGGAGCCCATCTGTGCTCCATCTGTTGCTTCCGACTGTCCACGCGGCTTTTCATGCGGTTAACTGCCTTGTTTCCTGACTTTGGTTAGTGATATCCGCAACGTCGGGTTTCTTTCGTTGTTCGTTGTTAGAATGCACTAGAGTTCAACATAGGCAAATTTTGTGGCCAATTTTAAACGTATTTCTTATGTGTTCAAAAAATTACAGAATGCATCTGAGAGACTACTTACAGAGTGTCTGTAACTTTACCAATACCTGTAATAATACCAGAGTCGGTGTGGATTTTTACAGACGTGTGTAAATTTACAGAAGTTTTTCGTTAAATTTCCATTTCCATCAGGCTTTTTGAAAATCTCGGTCAGGGCGGGTCAGTAACGGTGGTAATGACTACTAGGCCAGAAAAAAAAACATCGGTTCCAGTAGTCGCAACTTCCTCTATTTTAAGCCGTTTTCATTTCTTGTTGTGCTTTTTCTGACAACTAGCCTACAGCCCTACGTCGATGTGGAATCATAAGAGAAGGGCGCCCTGGAGAAGAAGCTTTCAGCCGCCTGGACCCCGCTTTGCTAGTTTGTGCAGCGATTTACGCCCGCAGTGAAAGTCGGACAGACTTCTGGTTGTGTCCATCGTGTCCGCAAAGGTTCAAAGCGCCTGAAGATATCTTTCTTTTTGTCCTCCGATCAAAACTGGTGAAGTGCGAGCCGGCCGAACGCGCGCCGCACGCCGCGGCGGAGGGTGCGTCGAAATCCTGCCTGCCAGCGCGGCTGGCGGCACCGCCCGCCGCGCTACTGCGCATGCGCAGAACGCCTTGTTCACTGTTATTTCTTGATTCCTGCATGTTAGAAATAATATTAAGTGCATTCCTGACTCAGACATAGAAGTTTCACAGGGTTGTCCTCTCTTCGCGCGTTCTGCGCATGCGCAGTAGCACGGCGGGCGGTGCCGCCAGCCGCGCTGGCAGGCAGGATTTCGACGCACCCTCCTCCGCGGCGTGCAGCGGGCGTTCTGCCAGCTCGCGCTCCGCCAGTTTTGATCGGAGGACCGAAGGAAAGATATCTTCAGAAGCTTTGAACCTTTGCGGACACGATGGACACAACTGGAAGTCTGTCCGACTTTCACTGCGAGCGTAAATCGCTGCACAAACTAACAAAGCGGGGTCCAGGCGGCTAAAAGCTTCTTCTCCAGGGCGCCCTTCTCTCATGGTGGAATTGTGTCATTATTTTCTCGTTCGGATTACATGATAATTACATCATGTGTCTGCATCGAACAAGAGGTGTCATTTCTTCCGCCCGAACGATAGAGTTTGCGTGTTGTAAGCTGCCCTGATTGACCGAGACAAATGTTACCAGAAAGAGGGGAGGGTGAGGGGACTGGCCACTGGCCACCTCGGGTGATGGTAGCCAGGGCTGGGCGGCGCTGCGTTCGGTCCGAGTGGTTGGGCCTCTGGGTCTGGGTCTGGGCCAGGGGGCCCTCCGGGCTCTCTGGGCCGAACCCCGGGCCCCTGGCCGAATAGGTGAGGTGCACGAAGTCGGGTGCGGGGGGCCCGCAGCCCCCTTCGAAGGCCCGAGGGGATTTCCCCCCCTCCCCCCTTGGCCAGTCCGCCACTGGTTGAACATTCGCGTACTACCTTTGGCCCAGTAGGCACCAGTGCCTAGACTCGTAGTCGCCACTCTGTGATTTCAGTTGTTTTGGTGTTTTTTTGTTTTTTTTTTGTTACGGGAGGGGGGGGCAGCAACTGCGCGAGGTATGCAACTGCGCGAGATCAATTTGTGTTGTTTGTAACTGCGCGTGGTTTGTAACTGCGCGGG